AATGCAGCCCTGGCTGCGCTTTGGGGCAATATGATTACCCAGGATTCCTCCAGGGGGGACACAAAACACTCTTGCATGGAAATCTGAGTTATTCAACATATGCATCCTCCACCCCCACCCCGGCTTTCTAAACCCTTCCCTGCTCTGCTGGGAGTACCATGAGACTAAGCAGTGGTTCTCAACCTTCCGGCCCTTTAAATACAGTTCCTCATGTTGTGAGCCAACCATAAAATTATTTCGTTGCTACTTCATAACTGTAATGTTGCTACTGTTATGAATCGTAATGTAAATATCTGATATGCAGGATGGTCTTAGGCGACCCCTGTGAAAGGATCGTTCGACCGCCAAAGGGGTCGCGACCCACAGGTTGAGAACCGCTGGCTAAGGTCAGGTGAGCTGTGCGCAGCTACTGGGCACTGCGGGGCTCCTCTGTCCATGGAAGAGGCTTCTGGAATTGCACTTCCCAAGACATGGAGGTTCAAATGTTCTTTCGTTTTTTTCTACTTTGAAAGTGTTAGGGATTTTCTCCAACCCCACCCCTCGTTTTTTAAATTGAGTTACATACATTTAGATTAAACGGAATATTCTCTCTCAGAGGCAAATCTTCCATGCCTTCCTGCCCATCTTTCCAGAGACAAACCATTATTATGAGAGAATTAATGTACAGCAGGTCCCTGAATAATGTCATTCAGTTCAACATCGTTTTATTACAACGTTGATGAGATACCATAGGAACTTAATTCTTGTTTATATATCACTTAGCCTACGGTAAAATTGGTTTCATTATCTGTGGCTTCACTTAAAGTTGCAGAACCTATCAACGACGTTAAGTGAGAACTTCTAGGAGCACAAGCAGTTGTGTGCTGACGCCAGTTCACACCAGCTCCCAAGCGTCAATGTCAAACTTTCAGGAATTTTGCAAACTGATTCTTAAATTGTCGGTAGCATGATATTGGTTGTAGTGGTAGCGTTCACATCACAGAAATCATCAAGACTCTTTCGCTCTAGAGTAGTGTTTCTCAACCTTGGCTGCACAATAGAATCACCTGGGAATCTTTTTAAAATCCTGATTTCTGGATGAGGCCCAGAAATCAGGATTTTAAAAAGATTCCCAGGTGATTCTAATGTGCAGCCAAGGTTGAGAACCACTGCTCTAGAGAGCTGGTTGTTGACACATTCACCTGTCGACCACTGACACAGGTGAGTCTGAGCATAAGAGAATACTGCCATTTTGATCATGATGAGATCAGCTTCCTCTCTTTTTCTCCAAGTTTACATTCAGATCCTACATTCAATTAATAGCAAAGCTGAGGTTGATCAATAACATGAGTATTGCTCATTGAAAAGAGGTTTGAGAAATTTTTAAGGATTCTAGTTATATTTTTTTAAGGAAGTTTTGCCTGTGTTTTACAGTTAAAATGCTTCAAAATAGTTTAGAGTTCTCTGTTTTGGGGCCTTACTTTCATAACCTTAGTCGGCCTGCTCCTCAAAATAAAACTTCTGCTCAGTTTTGGCTGATCTGGTTCCTAAAACACCCAGAATACTCCACACTCATTCCTGACATCTAGCCTTTGCTTGTTTATGTACGCCCTGTCCAAGCCACATGTACCTGATCCAATACCTACCTAATCCTGTGCACTCTTCAAAGTCCAATTTAAACCCACCTGCCACAACTCTTCTCTCATAACCCTACTCCACAATGTGCCTCCTTTTGCTTATAACGCTCATGGTTTTTTGTTTTTGTTTTTTTGCTTCTGCCTCTCACTTTTGATCTTAGTCATGATATACTACCTTGTATTTTTATTTTGCTCTTCTCCGTGAGAATGCCTTGTCTACTCAAATAAAGTGTTATCTCTTGCAGAGCAATAACTTTATGTTACATGAGATAGTATTTATCTTCCTCAGCCCCTGGCACAGCACTATCTAAACCCGTAGTAAGTCCTTAAGGCAGCAATTTTCAACTCTCTGAATATGGACTCTCCAACAAAACTTTTACTAGATACTGTCCTCTGGGCCTGAGCCCTCACAGATCCTGATTGAGTTTGGTTTGTTGTTTTAAAGTTTCCAAACAGTTACATATCAACCTAGTTTATTGCTACCCAGTCCAGAATCCCCTGGTGATTCTTAGATACAGCTATGATGGAGAACCATGACTTAAAAGATAGGGATGGATGGATGGATATGAAACTAAATTATGCAAAGTAATTATCAGCACCTTTTATTTTTACCAAGGTTGACACGCAGCTAATTGAAATATACAGTATGTTCTTTAGAACTCTCCACTTGACCATGAATTTTTTGAGAATGGAAATCTTGTAGCAAGCTCTCCATCTATTGCAATGTCTGCTACCAAGCAGGTCTTGCATCCATATGTAAAGATAGCATCACCCTGTCTATCTACTTGTTTCTCCTACCCCACCAACCTGGCTGGTAAAACACTCCATCTATCAACTTAGGTGGGACCAAAATTAAGAGTGTTGTTGTTAAAACTATGTTTTTAATAATAAAACAAAAACATGGATAAGTTCATTGCTTGATGAAGATGATGAAAGAAAGGAAGCAGAGCAATTCCCTTCTGGTTTGCTTCCATTTTTCCTCTATGAAGGAGAGTCATAGTCAGGCTGCAATGAATGAAACACAAATCTTAGTAGAAGAGGTAGTAAGGGAATGTCTAGGAGCTTTAAAACGTGTTCAAGTCCAGATGCATTACATCTAAGACAATTAAAACAATGTGCAGCTGTTACCACAGCTGCTAGTGTCCTGGGGGGGAAAGTCAGAGGCAATGGGAAAATTGCCAGGAGATCAGAGCTAAGCAAATGCCTCAGATTTCAAAAGGGGGTTTTTGGAATCTAAAGTGAGATGAGTTTGACTTTCATACCCAGCAACATTTCAAAGTGTGTTCTTCACTAGATATGTTGTATGCACTTAGTAAGGAAAGAGGTGATTCAACCGAGACCAACATGAAGTCACCAAAAATAATTCCGTGAAAACTATCTTACACGGTTATTACAGTAGAAGGGGAGTAGATGGAAATACTGTCACACAAGGCCCATGCTACTGTGTTCTAAACTTTTTGAGACACAAATCTAACATTGGCTCTCCAGCCACCTCTGACCTTTCACATGAATGGCAAACTCAAGCCCTGACACTGGTCCTCCACAGCCCCACCCCGACTATTCAAACTCTACCTTTGCCACCCCTATCGCCTGTTGCCTCCAGAGTCCTCTCTTCCTTTGAAAAATTTTCCGTGCTCAAGGCCACTGACAAATTTTACTTTGGGTTCTGAGGATGACTGCCCCATACCTATGACCTGGGAATTCCATTGTGCTAGAGACTACAGTCTTTAACCACTATTTTTAAAAACATCCCTCCATAACCTCAGTCCAAGACTCAGTCCCTGACCTTCCTCCTTTTGTCTCCTTTTTGCCCTCCCTATTCTTCCAAGAAAGTTTACCGAATAATTCTGCATCTAATCTACCCACCGCCATGTTCTGTCACATTGTATTTCTGTTCAAGCTATTGCCAACTGGGTTTCTGCCTCAACTGTTCCACTAAACTGGCTCTCACAGAGGTCAGTAATCGCCTACTGGTTGACAAACACAATGGACACAGTCTAGTTTAATTATTACTCTATTCTCCCCGCAGCATTTGTCATTGTTAACCATTCTCTTCTTTTGTAAATTCTTTTCTGCGTTCATCTTCAAGATTTTCCTCAAGATGGATTGACTCTTGTTGAGTTTCCCTCTCTCCAACAGCCACCTAAAAATTGACCTTTACCACAATCTTCAAGATTTTCCTCAAGATGGATTGACTCTTTTTGAGTTTCCCTGTCTCTCTCCAACAGCCACCTAAAAATTGACCTTTACCACGATTCACTTTCAGCGCTTTTATCTCATTCTTCACACTCTCCCTTAGGTGATCTTATCCATACACAAACTGCAACCAACGCGCGTACAGATGACATCTGACCTCCAGACTCACATCTCTGCTTGCACAGGCTATAAGCTTATGACTTCAAGCTCACCAAAATGAACTCTATCGTTTGCCTTGTCCCCAACCTATAAAAAAAAATGAGGCAAAAAGTCCTTTTAAAAACCTAAATTGTTGGGTTTTCTTATTTGGTTTCACCTTTCTGCCACCACTTAGATTCTGACAATGGATGAATAAGATGTGAAATAACAGACTATTAAGAACACTTAGCAGGTAG